AGTAGTAGTAGTAGTAGTAGGAGGAGGAGGGAGGGAGGAGAGAGAGAGAGAGAGAGAGAGAGAGAGAGAGTTAACTGAAAACATAGAATATCTTTCGGTATCTTTATTAGTTTCAGTTAGGTTCTATGGAGCACTTCTGAGGCACCACTGAACTGGTAGCCTTACCATATAAACCTTGATGAATTGGATCATCAGGAACCCGATTGTTATCCACGATTCAGCCCTGTTACCACTTGCATATGCCCTTCAAACACAGGATAGAACATTAAACACGCTCAGTCCTTCTAATTCCAAAAACATGTAAAGTCACAACAATTTACACAAACAAAAGAATATACACTTAGGGGCAATTTGGAAGGACCATCTATATGGGTAAAACCATCAATCTGTCACTTTTACTATAAACAATTAAGAAGGGAATTTGGCCTGCTTTACTTAACAGGAGAGTCTGGATTCCCAGACCTGCTTATACACTTAAACAGGCCTTACTTCTGACCTGCATAAATTTTCGAAAACAAACTCTTTACTTGAGTAAAAGTGGTAGAATTATCAAACTATCCCAAGTTGGTGGCATGCAACAGCAGTGGTAAGTAACTACAAAAAACATCTTTATGACTACCATACATCATGAAAACTTTGTTGCATTTTCATGGGGTCCCACTGGAACAATTTTATGAATTGTGAAAATGCGTAACTTGAGCAAACAACAAAGATTGAAATCATTATGTTGTGAAATCAAAAACCAAAATATCAGTCTTTTTAATAATGTTTATTTGTTTACTTTTTATTCTATAGTAATGTCAATATCAATTTGTTGGAATGGAAGCGAAACAACATAGGAGAAAACGAAGACATCTATTGCATAAAAGATATATAAAAATTTATTTATTAAAATAATATAGATATATAAAAGAGAAAACCACTTATCATCGCTTCATTGATCTTCATACCTTTACTTGCAAATGTCATCTTTTTGCATTGCACTCCGAGCTCAATTCTCTATAAACCTCCAAAAGCAACCTGCAAAAACCAGCAATAACTCGTATGAAATATAAGAAAACCATAATAGATTTGAAAGCACGGCAAGTAATGACGCACTGCACATAGCACACTTAACTAACAAACTAATAGAGTAGTAATATATAACATTTCCTACCTATTAAAAAATGGATAGATTATAACATTTACATTTTCTATAAATACTAAAAAGAAGTACTGATAAATTCAAGACATTAAATCTTTTATTACATTTCTATGTTCTTACTTAAACTCTCTCTCTCTCCTCTCTCTCTCT